CTAAATATATCTCAAATGAACTTGCCCATCTTCAATCTGAACATGACCATTTTATCATTTTTAGGGAAAATTTCAAAAACTGAATAGCGAACAGTGCAGACCATGATTAGATGGCTCCCGAGTTCCGGCTGATATTGATCTGCACTGGTTACATGGGTAATACCTCTAGCCACTTAGGGTTGAATAAGGAATCAATTTTTGAAGAACACAGGTCAACCGTAAGGCATCTGTGCAAAATATTGCCTGAGCTTGGTGTAAATGTGAAATCAGACCGAGTTCAGTCAGAGGCTGAGTAAACTCAATATGGTAATATTCTCACCTGGCCAGGGTCCTCACCTCATAGGACTGCATGCATTTTAAACATTTCAAATTTCAAAAGTGTTATACATCAAAAAGTGGTCCCAACTGCATTCAAAATGATAAAACAATTTGTCATCTCCCTATCATACTTTACATCTTTAATATACAAATCAGTTGCCTACTTTATTTAAGCTTATAAAATCTTTAAAGTTTGTACCTTATCTAGCATATTAGGCGAAAATGATGGTCATTTTTCCATGAACTACCATGAACTACCATGGTAGTTCATGCCCATATAACCACGAACTACCATGGTAGACCATGTTTTGTTAAATGGCACCATTGCTTTTCATGTCCAACAAACCATGGTCAATATACACCATGGTCTACCATTGTTGAACATGGTTACTAACATGTTCACCATGGTCATACATGAAAAATTGTGGTGGTTTTTTTTTTTTATCAAAACATGGTCTACCAAGGTAGTTCATGGTTGAAACTTGAATGGGCATGAAATATCATGGTAGTCCATGTGCATTAAAAAAATCTAATTAAAAGTGGCACAATTACATATGAAATATTTATTGAAAGCATTATACAAGTCTTCCTGTTTTGGCACCTTACATGAACAAACAAAATGGTCTAGAATGAGCATGTACAATTTGACTAGCTTGTATAAAATACACAATAATTATGAAAAGAATAATTGTCAGTAAAACAAAGCTCATCTATTCAAAGAAGAGTGATTGGGGTTTTGCCCTGCTTTCAATAAAAGTTATATAACAGTTTTTGAAAACCAGGAAAGGTCTATAAATCTGTCACAATACAAAAAAGAATAATGAAACTGGAGTCATTTTAGCATTCATTTTCACCAAAAACATGTGTATGAAGTTTTAAATTGATTTAATGTTGATTTTCTTGTCCAGAAAAGGACATAATTCTGTCAAAATGCAAGTTACGGGATATGGTTTTATGAAACCCTGGAGATGTTAGCCAGGTTAATAGCTTAAGTACTTTTAAAGATAAGTACTTGTAGGCAAACAATTAATGTTAAGAAGTGTGACTGAATGCCTGGGTGAGTACATAAACTCAGACTATTCTTTAACTGGTCTAGCTAAAAATGCAAATTAATAACGACTAATGACATTTTCTCCATATCCTTGGGTACTAAGTATACTGAACTAAAGTTAAAAAAGTTCTAACAATTTGTTTCATAGTTCACATGTTTTACTTTAATTGTGTTTCTGACACCATTTTTGGACTGAATGCACTTTTTCCGTTATTTCTTTTGTTGCCACAGCAGGGTACTTTTCCTTTACAAGACTGATCATGATATTGTAAAGTCTGGTGTCAAAGGGCGGTTTTGCCTTGAATTTAGTGTTTGCCGCTTTTCCAGAAATGGAATGGGAAGAAATGTAAGCTTCAGAAAACAACATGAGCATGAGAGTCTTTACTGCTGAGTAAACTTGATCTGTATGGGCAATGGCATCTTGCAGTTCAGATTTTGAGTGTTTATTATAAAAGGTGTCTGCATCCAGGGATTGGTTGCTGGGTGTTTCAACTGTGGAAGTCTCAGATGACGATGACATGCAGCCTAACTTGTCAGATGATGAATTGTAGCTTGACTTGTCAGATGATGGTGTCTTGTAGCTTGACTTGTCAGATGATGGTGACTTGCGACTTGACTTGTCAACTGGTTCATCTTCAAGCGTTTTTATTCTCCTCTTGAGACGCCTGACCTCGTCTTTTAAATCCTTGAACTCTTTCATTGAAACACATCTGAAATGAATCGAAGAATAGTACTATAATTCATACATTACCTTTGCTTATAAGTGATTAAACTTTGCTTCTAGTGCTTGACCCTCAATGTTCAGGTTGCAGTATAATTAGCTGTACTCTAGATCACCTGAAGTTTGCAAGGTCTTAATTGGCAAGAAACTGTAAACTGTCACATGTAAGGACAGCAGGGCTGAAATCCTAGCTCTAATAAAAAGCTGACCACCATGCATAAAGTATGATGGTAACTAGAGCTCTGCTAGTCGGAGCATTATACGCCGGAAGGATGAGCCATAATTGAACAGACAATGATTTTGTGTTCATGGTTACTGTGACCTTTCACATACTGACCCCAAAATCAATAGGGATTATGAACAACAACTACACCAATTATGGTGTTCCTATGCTGAATAGGACGTAAGGTATTGAGCAGACAGGGACTTGACTTACGGACAGACAGATGACATGAGCCATATTATAATACACTCAAAGTTGCCTTCGGGCTAATAAAAATGAAGAGGACTGAGGAAGTAAAGGCTAGTTACTCACTCTTTGTGAAAATCATCTGGAGTTGGCCCTCGCAATTTGGTGTTTCTACTGCTTTCTTCTTGATCTGTTAAGAATAAGTAACATACTTGTGGTAATCACAAACAATACAACTGTATACAGGACTCGATTTAACTGAATGTTCTTTAAGATTTTCTTTATATACATTAATTTACAAAACTGGTGACCTCTGAAGCCAGCCATATTTACAGACAGATTGCTTGGTCAGAATGTTTGTTTCAGTTTAAATGAAAATGGTTAAAAATTGTGGTCTTTTAACATGATTTACCCGAGATATGACCAGATGACCTTATTTTTGACCCCACATGACCATTTTTGTTTGTATGGAGTTTAACGCCAATTGTAACATCTTATTGGTCATATCTCAGCGGCCAGCTTTCCTGGATATCTAGCCAGTAATTACCAATTATCCGCTAGTGACCAACTACTTTTCCCACATGATCTACTTAAGAACAGAGATGGGAGATAAATGGCTACTAGACACAATGTCAGAGCCAGAGCGAGTGCAATATCCCTCCTAATTTTTCAAATAGTCAAACTAAAAATACATTACCTTCAAGACTGCCGCTATCAACTTTACAAAGGTCATTGTCAGTTTTTAACAGAGTATTGGTGTCTGTTTTAGCCAGACACTTCTCTGCAAGCTGCTTTGAATTCGGTGAGGACTTGCTTTCCAGCAACTTCTCTGCAAGCTGCTTTGAATTCGGTGAGGACTTGCTTTCCAGCAACTTCTCTGCAAGCTGCTTTGAATTCGGTGAGGACTTGCTTTCCAGCAACTTCTCTGCAAGCTGCTTTGAATTCGGCGAGGACTTGCTTTCCAGCATTTTCTCTGCAAGCTGCTTTGAATTTGACGATGACTTGCTTTCTACTATATCTACAAAGATAAAGGTAATTAATGGGATTGATTTGGGTTTTTCATCGCTTTTAACAGTATTTCTATCATACCGTGGCGACAAGGACAATGATTTTGGTTAATTTCATGTGTTACAAGGCAACGCAGTGAATTTAAACCACTCAAGGCAGTGTCCCCTTGGAATCTAGTTTAAAAGTTTCATTGCTCTACCTCAAACACTTTTAGAGCTAGGCATTACAGACGTAAATAAAATCGCTAATTTCAACTAAGTCAAGGGCAATAACTCTTGCACTACTGAATGATTCCACAAGTGAAACATCTTGTGGACGACTAAGATTCCTGTATAGGTTAAGTTTTATGACCTTAGCTCAAATACTTTTGGAGCTACACACGACACTAGTTGAAAAATGGCCAAATTTGTGTAAGTAAAGGGCAATAACTCTGACATTACTGAATGAATACAAAAGCGACACCCTAGGTACAAAACTTCACATGGTGATTAACATTACTCTACCTCAAACACTGATGGAGCTATGTGCAACACAACTTTTAGGTGGGATAGACAAGGGCAAAATTTATGTAAATGCTCCCCGGCCCCTTCAGGGAAGGGGGGGGGGTATAAAGAATTGTTTTTATAACAAAGTACCTTTATGACTGGCAGCAGAAGTAAGAATGTCCTTGTCAGACACATCTACTTGAAGGGTGTTGAAGTTCTCATCTAACCATGCATTCATTTCCTTTTTTCCTGTAAAATTTGTTCATGTAATTACTAATATAATAAAAATAAAACTTACTTTACTTTTTCAATGTTACGGCATGGTGTTGTAGAAATAGACCATATAAAAACCAGAAATAAAGGGTATTTCACGTTAATTGTCACAGCATTATTTTGCATGGACATCTAAGGGCTGAGATACATAATATCAAATTGAGAGGAAAAATCCTGGACTTGGAGGCATATGTTTTTTTCCTTTAAAATACTGACTCACATAAAAGTTGACAATCCCTAACTTAAAACATGTTTTCTTCCCCAAATTGCTGGGGAAATGCCCCATGTCTTTACTTTCTTACTGTTGCAAGAACATGGTGGACTTATTTCTATTCAAAGTTTACCAAAATTCAAACACCTTTTCACTATGTGGGCATTTCGCTGGAACCTTTGGCCGGATTTTACCATCTGCTTGTTCAGTGCGACCAAATTGATGTATATGATGTAGATGTAAACTTGGTAAGTAAACAACATTTTATTTTATTTATTCTTTATTGTTCATCAATCATCAACAGATCAAATCTGATGAATTTGCTAAAATTACTACTTTAGATTGATAGAACCAATGCTCAGCGTATACCATTGCTCGGCGTAAATTTTATTTTTCACAGATTTTCCTTTTTTCTAAAGCATGTGTTAAAATAACTTCTTTAATTCAAGTTTTTGTGTCGCCTCTACGGAGTAGTGGCAACATATAGGGATCACTTCTCCGTCGTCTGTCTGTCCGTCTGTCTGTCTGTCTGTCCGTCTGTCCGTCCGTCCGTCACAAAACTTGTCCGGACTACTCCTCATAAACTACTGGTGCAATTTCATCCAAACTTTACAGGAATGATCAGTACCAAGTCTAGTTGTGCATATTGTCAGGATTTTCCGGTTCAATGATTTTTGTCAGAGTTATGGCCCTTTAATAATTTTTAATTTTAAAGTTTGTCCGGACTACTTCTCTTATACCACTAATGCAATTTCAATGAAACTTTACAGGATTGATCTGTAGCTCAAGTCCTTGCGCATATTGCACGGGTTTTCCGGTTGAATGATTTTTGGCCGAGTTATGGCCCTTTGATAAAAAGGTTTCTTTTTTCTGTGTGTTGCCAGATACACAAAAGCTTGTCCGGACTACTCCTCATAAACTACTGGTGCAATTTCATCCAAACTTTACAGGAATGATCAGTACCAAGTTTAGTTGTGCATATTGTCAGCATTTTCCGGTTCAGTGATTTTTGTTTGAGTTATGGCCCTTTAATAATTTTTATTTTTAAAGTTTGTCCAGACTACTTCTCTTATACCACTTATGCAATTTCAATGAAACTTTACAGGATTGATCTGTAGCTCAAGTCCTTGCGCATATTGCACGGGTTTTCCGGTTGAATGATTTTTGGCCGAGTTGTGGCCCTTTGATAAAAAGGTGTTTTTTTCTGTGTGTTGCCAGATACGCAAAAGCTTGTCCGGACTACTCCTCATAAACTACTGGTGCAATTTTATCCAAATTTTACAGGAATGATCAGTACAAAGTGGTTAGTCTAGTTGTGCACTGTCCGTCTGTCTGTCCGTCTGTCACAAAATTTGTCCCAACATGAAATTGGCCATCATGAGGCGACACATGTGATTACTGATCGCTCTTGTTTTTATTTTGTTGCTCTTTGCATGTAGTTCTCTTAACTTCCAGTATTGTCATGTGACTTTAGAATAGTAAATGATTACAGGGATCCCATTGGATAATATAAATAAAGGGAACTGTTTTCTTTGTCACAACAGATATTTGCTTTGTTTGATATGCAGTAAATAGAAATATAGATTTAATGTTTCATTTATTTTGTATTCAGGAAAGGTTATCTATGTTACGCCGAGCATTGGTAAAATTAAGTGCAAACCCCACACGTTTTTCTCAGTCTATTTTTAGCGCAGTCTGCAAAATTAGCACTTGTCCGGTTGCCAGGGACAAGTAATTTTTGCTTTGGGCAAGTAACTTTTCAAGGTTTATAAAGAGTATAGATCTATAGGAAAATTATTTACATTTGGTAATTCGGACAAGTAGTTTCAAATCAAGCAAAGATCACTTGTGATGTAAACAATTCACATCTGGTGATAAATTATTTATTATTGTCTTGACAAAAGTTTTGTTAGATTTTACGCCGAGAAGTTTGGTCTCACCACTATATTTCTCTACTCACCACCAACTGCAAGAATCCTGAAATGCCATTTTCCAGAATGTCCGGGGTAGCAGGCAAAACCCTCGTCTCCTTGGACATAAATGTCTTTCTTAGGTTCAAGGAAATGCTTCTGACAGTGAACTGACAAAAGATTATTGTCATTTAACCAACGAACGACTGCAAATTGTTTTGCCTTGTCCGCCATGCTGTCAAATGTTAGCGCGGATTTGCTAAGATCGATTTTCTTATCGGCATTTTGATTGGCTGACGGTCAAATATTACCCAATGAAAAACATCGTTACTGAGTTCAGCTGACTAGAGTGGTTTCCCCTCCGTTTAGGTTACGCACCACTAATTCCTGTCTGTCTATCTATCCCAGTAATGTCAAACACCTCACGGGAACGTAGACTTGTCTTAATGTTATGACATATTAGACTTCAACAGCAGCAAATTTGAAAGGGAGTTCCTTTGCAAGCAAAGAAAGCAACCAATATAATAGAAGACCCGGTTTTATTGGGTCTGTTCATGAAAAGTTCTAAAAAGTGCAGCACCATTCACGCCTTCTAGCACCAGCTGAATTCGTATTTGTGCGCTTAACTTATAATTTCAAATTATGATATTTCATCCCATAGATAGCTTAGTTTCCACAAAATATATCTCTGCAGAAAAGTGTATTGGTTCTCGCGACATGTATCCAGAGCATCTTTGTCTGGGATGGTGTTCATCGGGGCGCTACATTAGAATTTTTAGAAATATTACACTTCATTGTCAATTTAATAATTAAAACGAAGTTTAAATACAACTGGTGTTCGTCGGGGCCTAGCATTAGATCTTTCATCTGGGATGCATATATATCCTTTTGTATAATTTAATTCACAGGGACCCAGCACAGTGTTTGGATAGTGTAAAAAAAGTAATTCTAGAAAAAAAATATACTGTATATATAATATATAGACAAGGGGTTGAACTCGCCAAATCGGCCGAATGTCACTAGTCCAGTATAAGTCAAAATTGCAAAGTCATTTTTACGTAAATCATATAAAGCCATATATCAAATTGCAGCTAAATGACATCACTAGACGTTGACAATAACATAAATGTCCCCTAGCTTATACCGTTTTTGAACAACAAACCGATATTTCGGATAGAATATCGTATTTTTGCTAGGTCGGACACGATCGCGTAACCTGTCCCTACGCGATTTTCTACGAGTAAAAACACAATTTTAAACCATGTCATTGTACCAACCCGCAATAAATCGATAGAACAAATTCAAAGAAACAACTTACTGCTGGAAATTGTTCCAAAACCAATCAAGTATAGCGAAAATTCAGTTCTTTTTTATTACTCTTCCGTTAATTTTTTTTTTTGAAGCCATGATACACAATCGGCTCCGGTTGTAAGACGCCGTTTGATTAGACGATACTGTGACCCAGGTCAGCTTCGTATTTTAATCAACCAATGAAATAATCCGTTTCAAACCGTTCATTTTCACTTTTAGAAATTTGTTGTTTACAGACGTAATAAAAAATTTAAAAATCCAATTCCGGCGGTAAGTTGTTTCTTTGAATTTGTTTTTTTCGATTTATTGCGGGTTGGTACAATGACATGGTTTGAAATTGTGTTTTTACAAAATACTATATTCTATCCGAAATATCGGTTTGTTGTTCAAAAACGGTATAAGTGGGGACATTTATGTTATTGTCAACGTCTTGACTTATACTGGACTAGTGACATTCGGCCGATTTGGCGAGTTCAACCCCTTGTCTATATATTATATATACAGTATATATTTTTTCTAGAATTACTTTTTTACACTATCCCAAAACTGTGCTGGGTCCCTGTGATTTAATTGGCATAAATAATTAATACATACATTTTATTCTTACTAACTTATCAGAATCTTCTACCGCCAAGTAATTGTTGATATGTTAAGTCGTTCTGGTATAAATTGAAAGAATATGTGCAAAATGAAAATAAAAATCGTTTAGAGTTTAGACACTTAAAACTTTCATATTATAGGCAAAAATAATTAGTGGTGTGTAACCTTAATATGGCCGTTGTGAACGACTGCATCAGCGCATGGTTCTATGACAGCACGCTATGAAAAAATAAAATATATTCATCTGATATTAATAAAACCATTTCGTGGGAACAAAGCGTAAATATGATTTTTTCTAACTGTACTTGTTTTTTATGGAATACATTTTACACAGGATTAGAATACCAAATATGCACCTGAGTTCGGATGAAGTTTTTTTCGGATATGATATTGAGGAACGGTCGCACAATTCTGAGTTGCAATAGCTTTACAACTTATGAGCTCACAATTACAGAGTGCCCATCCAAGTAAAATCTAATGGTATAATGACTAAAATCTTAAGTGAATCACGCTAAGAAACAACAAACACTTATCTCATATTTGTATGCAACAAAAATCCAAACCAAAAAAAGCATTCCAATACCAATACTGTCCGAGTGTCGGTGTTGTACGTATAAATTAACTAGGGTAATGTAAAAAAACATTGCTGAACTATATCCGCTCGGTTATATGCAGTTTAAATTTAGTCTTAAAGGTTGAACAACTAAAAAATATCAGATCCTTAAAATGGGTTCAATGCTTTAAGCATAATTAATTAGGCTACAGTTTTTCTGCTTTTGGCATACAGTTTACACATGTATTCATAAAATATATTGAGTGGCAGTGTCTTAGATTTTTGTTCACTCTTTTTTAGGGTGCCACACAATGGATGAAGATCCAAAAGAAGTTTGCTATAACCTGCACAAAACTGAAAGTACCACAAAATATGAGTGTACAATATGTGGACGCCTTCTTGCCACAAAGCAAAGAATATTCACCCATCTGCACAACAAGCACCATAAAAGTAAGTTACTTTTACTCATTGTCAATGGGCATTCTAATAGAAATGTAATAAGAGGATGAAAAACAAAGTACCCTATGCTGGACACGAACCTGCACCCTCCTGCTTGCAATTAAGATGCTTTACCAACTGAGCTAATCAGGCTATGAATACCGTTCAAAGACAATTTATTTACTCAAGTACTATATACACCACTGCTACATTCCGCTTTTTATTGAAAATAATAAGACTAACCCAGCTCATCCTAGCTCTAGGTTTTCAATGCTTGCAAGTCTGGTGCTCTACCAACTGAGCCAAGGCGGATAATGAGCACCACAAACAGTTATTTTTATTTCCTCAAGTGCTATATACACCACCGCTACAGTAAATATGAAATAAGCTGGGACATTGTCACAGACTGAGACCATTATACCCTCAGATTGGGTTATGAACATTAAAATATAACAAAAATAAAGTTGAATGTGTACAAATATTATATAAATAGAAATTTCATCAAGATATGACAAAACTGTAACTAAAATATGTATTTGCAATGTTATTTACTGTATTTAATTATTGTATATCAGCCGAAAATCAAAGTCGATTCCTATAATGCAAGTAGATTTCAGTAGATTCCTGTAAAAGGTCAAAACTAGTAATCTGAGAAACCAGTAATTGTGTCGCCTCAATAGAGTTGTGACGACATATATGGATCACTTCTCCATCGTCTGTCTGTCCGTCACAAACTTGTCCGGACTACTCCTCAGAAACTACTGGTGCAAATTGTTGGCATTTTCCGGTTTGATGATTTTTGTAAGAGTTATGGACCTTTAATGATTTTTATATTTAAAGTTTGTCCGAACTACTCCTCAGAAACTACTAGCGCAATTTCTTCCAAACTTTACAGTTGTGCATATTATCGGCCTTTTCCGGTTTGTTGATTTTTGTAAGAATTATGGCCCTTTAATAATTTTTATTGTTTAAAGTTTATCCAGACAACTGCTCTTATACTACTACTACTGTAATTTCAATGAAACTTTACAGGATTGATTGGAAGGTCAAGTTTTTGTGCATATTACACAGGTTTTCCGCTGGAATGATTTTGGCCAAGTTATGGCCCTTGATTGAAAAGGATGACGAACTACTCCTGTTATACCACTAATGCAATTTCATTGAAACTTTACAGGATTGATCGATAGCTCAAATTCTCGTGCATATTACACAGGTTTTTAGGTTGAATGATTTTTGCTGAGTTATGGCTATCATAAGGCAACACATGTCATCACTAAAGGCCCTTGTATATAATATATTCAATCTGCTTAACCAAATATTTCAGGTCCACTGAAGAGGGTGTATAAGCAGTATGAAGATAACTCATCAATACCTGTACCAAAACGCACTGCAATGAGACATGTGCGTACATCAGCAAGACAGCATCTCTTTGGCAATAATTGTTCTTCAGGCCGGGAATTAGATAGTATTCAACAGCTATCTCCAAGATTAACTGCTAATACTGCGTACAACACACATTGTCATGCTGAAGTTGACTTTGATAATGTTTCACTTGAAAGACAGAGCTCTGATAACAGTTGCTGTGCACCATGTTCTTCAGACAACACACACTTCTCTTTAGACAATAATTCTGATAATACTTCTGCAGATTCAGTGTTACATAAACCACAAGAATTCTTTTATGATGACCTAACAAGTGATCAGCATATTGATGACTTTTCTGACAGTGATAATGAGTGCATGAGTGACCAATCAGTAGAATTTAGTGATGACTCATCAGCTGAATCTTTCTTACAATCAGAAGCAGGTTCAGAACTTTCTGATCTGGAGTTGTCTGATGATAATGTAATAAGTGATGATGAAGACAAGAATGTGTACTCACAAATTGAATTGAATGCTCTTTGTTTTGTTTCATATTTTCTACGACACAATTCATCAGGCATTGCCATTAAAGACTTGCTTAACCTTTTACAAGTGTTATGTCCAGAATCTAGTCAATTTAAGGATATAACATATGATAGAATTATGTCCCTTGCTGGGAATACAAACTGTAAGGTAGTTGATTACTGCCACATATGTAATCGAGCATTTCCAGAAGACCCTGATGTGTTTAGATGT